AAAAACTCCATCTTTTCATTTCAGAAAACATCTTGTTTTTCTTAATCTTGCTGCTGTAGTGGTATCCAGGGAACAAGGCGTTATGACACAGAATGTTAGCACCCGCCGCGTATCTGTTAACACAGGTACTGTGCTTAGGGGGCCTACGTCCCAAGACAGATCATTGGGTCTGTTGGCTGCCTCGCACCAGCCAAAAGCAAAAATGGGGCATAGCCTGGTAAGATGGGAAAGTTTAGGAAGTAGCCTGGGAGATGCAGGAGTCCATTTAATCCCGATGTGGGGGTGAGCTCTTGCTTTCCTCTGTAGGCCAATGCTTTATTAGCAAATCCATAGCAAAAGCACTAGAGACAGGAAAGAGCCCTGTGAAGCATGGCAGGGTTCGTCAGTGCGGGGGGCAGGTGACTGCCAGTACACTCACAAGAGGGCCGTGATAATGAAGATTGAATCCCAGTCTTGAACTGAAAATCCCAGGGAAGTAGTGAAGAGGACAGAGCCCAAGTGTGACGTGCTGTCAGAAATGCATGCTGCCAAATGGCATGGCCGCTGTCCTGAAGCACTAAAGAGCTTTCGAGAAGTTACCCCTTTCATACTGAACCGGAGAGAAGTATCTGCAGTCTGGACGTTAGAGGCTCTTGACTCATCAAAATCCAAAATGAGACTGATGCCATCTTTCCAGCAGGAGATGGGAAGGGGAGGTGTTTCTCCTAAGTATCCAAAACACGGAAGCGTTGGGATGACTACAGCAGCAACAGGTTGTCTTTCGATCTGAGAGCATATGCCTTCTGTGAAACGGTGAGATTTTCTTGGTTGGCAAAAAGCTGAGCTTTCTCAGGAGTTTGTCTGAACCAGCTGTTGCTTTGAATGAAGTCCAGGGAAAGTTGGGAAACAGCTCTTCTCACGTCTGATGTGCAGTTAATGCTGGTAGGTGTCATCACCCTTGGAGCACTCTGTCAACTCCAGTGAGATTCAGCTTCTCGTTGATCCTCAACATGGATACTGAATGTAAGGAGCATGGTAGGGCTGTGAGGAACACGTCACCTTCTCAGGTGGAGTGCAAAGCGCCTTATGGAGAATGAGGACTTGGAGAAAAGATCTTGAAGCTGCAGTGGTGTGAACACGCTGCGGTCAGAAAGATGATATGGGAATGCTGGGTGAAACACATCAGATGGCATGAAGGACTTCTGTAATGTCCTAAGGGTATCTTGTCCCTGTGTGTGACTTAAAGGAGATCATCCAGTCAGTGTCTGAGCTGGGAACCTGCTTGTTCCTGCCCAGGAAAAGCACAGCAGATCTCCTTTGGTAGCTTGCTCTGGAACGTGAAAGGCAGAATTTCTGGTGGTGGCTGAGGGGTAGTTGTGCCACGTAGTGTCTGTGCAGATAAAGGTAGGCAATTGATGTTTTACCATAGCAGGATGAAGTGGTAAGTACGCTACTAAAGAATCTAACAGCTTTCCTCCTAAATTTAGAAGGGCTTGAGGCAGGCAAACTCACTGTATCCAGCAGTTGCATGTGATGAGTTCACAAAGGTAAGTAATGGGGTTGCGAGGCCACTGTTACGATTTCAGTGCCCTGGGACTCTTGTTGATGCTCATGTGCATGGCTGAACGTAAGAGCCAGAGGCAGCTTCTAAATCAGCGGTATTGTCCTCACCTCCAGCAGGGCGAACCTTGTGGCACTTGAGAAGAAGCTCTTTTCTCTGTTATTACAAAGACAGCTCTTGCACTGATGCAGAAAGTGAACTGTACATTAAGTTCAGAATCGTGACAGCCAGGAGCCAACTGTGCCATCTTCTCATTGCTTCCTGCTCTTTGGCAGCCCCCTCCTTTGGGGAGTAACGAGTTGGGAACGCTCTGACCCTTCAAAAAAGTGTGAGCACTAGGTCTGCACAAACACTGCCCCTTAAGAGCATGGTCACGATGGGCTTTAATGAGGCTGCTGGATTTCCTAGTGTGGGTGATCCCTTGGGCAGGTAGCAACAGAAGACCCAACACTATCTTGGGCAGCCATGGGGATACATCTGGTACACATTAGCATTAGGTTCAAGTATGTGTGTTTTACAAGACTCATCCTGTCTTGGGTAAAGCCAGTGAAGAAAAAAGTAGAACAATAAATTTTGCTTTGGGAGTGAGATAAAAGAAAATGAAGCAAAGTCCATGGCCACATCAACTCTATCAGATCAGAACAGCTGAAAAGAGGCTGAACCTTCTTACCCTTTTTCTGTGATGGAGATGGTGATAGTCAACCTTGTGGAGGTCCCACAGAGTGTTGCCTTAGAGGGTCGTGTGAGTAATGGGGGGAGACATGGCGGGATATTGCAACAGTTAACAGGGAAACACTGTGTTTTTCTGTCCCACCTTTCTTCCATGTAGAAAATGGAGCCAGAGTGACTGCCAGGTTCCACTTTGTGCCTCTTGTGTCCTGGTACAACATGGTAGTATAGCACAGCTGGGGACCTTAAAGATCTAATGGTGAGGAGAGCCAGGCAATGGCTACCAAATGCTAGTGCCACCGTCATTACTGTAAGGATGTGAAATCCAGTAGAGAGAAAATACAAGAGAAAGAGGAAGAACATCCTTAACTTTGCACACCAGAAACAGAGTGCTGCTTCTGACCTGGCCTGGAGCTGGGAGATAGCTCCCACAAGATCTCCAGATTGGACTCTCAGCAAAACCACTCGCCTGCTCCCTAATGCTAGGTGACTTTCACTGGGAAAGTTTCCCATGCACGTGAGACCTGCTCTCTGCTCAGGGAAGGGCAGCGCTTCCTGTTTTTCCACAACACTGCTCCCTCCTCCAGTTTCTCGGGCAGGCTGGGAGCTGCTGCCGTGTCTGGTGAAGTCTCTCCTTTGTTTGCTTTGCTGTTTCACCAGACTGACTTTCTTGGTTCCTTTTTTTACCCCCGTGTTTGTTCTGCAAATGCCACGTCACCTGTATGTCCATGGGGCAAGGTGGCGTGAGGAGTGCCGGGAACGCAGGTGCAGGCTGCTTGTCACAGATCCCAGGGAAAAAAAATGGCTGGGTGATGAGTGAGTTGGTTTTGTGGTTACACAGAGGGCAAGGAGCCGTTTCAAGGCATCTTTTCCTTACACACTGCTGCAGAACAGGCATTGTTTGGTCTATGTCCACTTCAACACCTCTATGATTGGTATTACACCTGATAGTGTTTGTGACTAAGCTAAACGAAGTCAGTTTCCTTTGCTGTTGGTGCTCTTGCGTATGGATCTATTGATCTGTAGATAATAACCAATAAGTGCTTCTCTGCAATGTGAGATCTAAAAGCGGATCTAGCCTTAACCGCAACTTTTTGGTTAAGAAGCAACTAAGAGTTGACTTCTTCACCCTTTCAAGGAAGGGTCTTGTGCCTTTAAAAAGAAAACCAAACACGCACACACACACACAAAACCCCAAACGACAAAAGCCAACATCTATATATAATATGCAAACCCTACGGGGAACCGCACAGGCTGACATGATGTCACTGGCTTTCTCTGCCAGCCTTTCACACGCCTCAGAGGCGAAGCTGCTTCACAGCAGAGCTCTGTGGTTTCACATGTGATTGCACGGAGGGGTCACGAGGCTGCCACTGCTCCCCAGCCAGCCTGGCTCTGCGGGAGAGGTCTGCTTGTGCACTAGAAGTGGTTACTTGGATGCAAAACTTCTCCTGTTGCCATGCTTAATGCTGTTGTTTGGGGTTTTTTTAAGTCCTTGCCAGGCAGGGTTGGGGGAAGTCTGCGGAACACAGTATCTATGGGAGAAGAAAAATAGCCCATTTAAATGTCAGTAGCTAAGCCCGATTCCTGTGTGAGAGTGCATGCATATACTTGTGAAGTATGAGTAATGACACACAAGACAGGCTTCAGAAATGAGGCCTCTTATTTAAATATCTCTTCTCTTCCGAATGTCCAGCCCATGGGATGCTTATCCCAAAGGGCAGAGGAAGGACAGTACCTGTATAACTTATCTTCACGCTGCATCTGCTATTTCATTATGCTGAAGAACGTTTGTTTGCTTTGCTTTTAAAACTAAGCCACATTACTTCAAATGCTGTTGCTATGGGCGGGCTGGCAGAGGACAGAAACTCAGTGTGTAAACCTGGAGTACATCTCGGTGCAGCGGGAGTGTCCAGAGGAGCAGGTTAGGCTCCTGATTGCTGGCATGGGAAATTGTGCGAAGTCCCCCTTTTTTGACCGTGGTAAGCTTGCCAGTGTCAGAACAGGACTTCAGTGGCTTTAGGGACTCCTTGTGACTTCTCTGATATCATCTGTTCCAGGATCAGGCTCCTCAGGTGGCCTTTTCCCCTGAACAACAGCGTGCTTTCTGGCCAGGTTGGCAGGTGACAGATGTTTCCCTATCTTGATCTAGCTTATAATTTATATGCTTTTTTTGTTTGGTCATTCTAGCGTGAACAAATGTGTTGCAGTACTCGGATCACCTCAGCCTCCATATAAAGTTCAGCTGACTCCTCCTATCCTAAACAAAATGTGAGAGATTCCAGGGAAGTAGTGGTGACTGGGATGCTAGCTTAGGAGTTCCTATCTGACCAGCCCTGCCAAGCACAGCCAAAGGACAATACTGATGGTGGTATGAGCTATCACAGAAACTCACCCTCAAGAGCGGCAGCCTATACTCCGGATGCTTTCTTATCAGACACTCATGCAGACAGCCTGCAAGGAACAGCACTAATGCCAAAGCTTATCCACTGTCAGGTAAAACTAGCTGCTCTGTGATTAAGCTGTAAAGCATAAACCCACAGAATAGCACTAGCTTCAGAAATGGCTCTAAAAGTCCTGCAATTATCTGGGTGTTGTGCTGCAATAAGTAACATTCGCAAGAGATGTGTGGAGTATAGTATGTCAGCTACTGCCTGTGACAGTTTAGGAGTTAAGGAGTTGCGTTAGTGCACTGTTAATGGTGATGTAAAAGCAGCAACTTGCTGGTGTTTGCCCTTTCGAAATGAATACTGTGTTCAAGTTTACCTGATTGTGCTTCACTGCAGGCAACATGGTGGAGTGGTGTTTACCCCAAGATATTGATTTGGAAGGTGTGGAATTCAAATCCATGGCAAGCGGGTCCCACAAAATCCAGTCGGATTTCATGTGAGTACGTCTGACCTAAATTACTTCTTACTCTTAGGGCTGCATCGACACAACCATCCCTTAATTCAGAACATGCAAGAAAAATTACACCTCTGAAGTTAAGTCAAGTCCTGCATAAATGCGCTGCTAAACTGTATCTCGCTGAGCTGAGATACTCTTCAGATACTCTCAGTATCATACGAAGTACCAGCTAGCTGTGGGGATCTGCTGTACAACAGCTTTGGCTGTGGAGGCCAGCTCGTGAGTGGGGCAGGGCAGCTTTGCAGTGGTGTGCAAAGTTTAATGCATACTGGGCAGATCATACTGCACTGCCACATTATTTGGACTGTCAGCAGGGGCCTAGGGAGAAGGGGAAAGAATGGCAGAACTGAAGTGGGAAGGATTTTATAGGAACTGGAGATAAAGTTTCTTAATTCTGCCAGTGCTTTTGGTTCCTTTAAATGTTGTGATACGTCCTTGCTCACTTTCTTCTTTGATAGCTCCTTCCTTCAGTGGGAAGACATAAGCTTGGAATTTTCTTCAATCCCATGCTTTTACTAACCCAGTGTTGCAATGCAGCAATGTTTTGGAATGAATTGCAGTGTCACAGTTCCTTTTGGTCAGGAATAACAGTCACTTTCTCAAAGGCATGTGAACTGGACATTTGCTCTCAGCTAGAGCATGCTTCAATGTGCTGGCACCCAAAACATGACTAGATAGCTAGACTATACTCCAGACTTGATGCACTGCAGGCTTTTCTTCCTTGGACTGGAACTGTGTTGAATGTTCTGTCTTGTTCTTGGGAAGACTAGGACACCCAACGTCTGTCCTCAGCCCTTCAGATAGCACAGTGGGATTTAAGGGGGTTCCTTAAAGGGGTCAATTAGCTTTCTTTCTTCCTTTTTCCTTTTTTTTTTTTTGTTTTTTTTTAACATTAACCCATTTGTCAAACGTTTGTTTCCAGTTATTTCCGGAAAGGGCTCTGTTTTGGCCTGGCCTGCTTTGCCAACATGCCTGTAGAGAGTGAGTTAGAGCGTGGTGCCCGCATGAAGTCCGTGGGGATTCTGTCCCCTTCCTACACCCTGCTGTATAGGTACATGCACTTCCTGGAGAACCAGGTCAGGTAAGTTCCCTTGGGAACGGGACTGGCCAGGGAGAGGTAAAGTTGCCTCGATGGAGAGCAGTTTTAGGCATGTGTGAGAATTTGACTACAACGCTGAGCTATGATTTCCTTGAACGACTACTTCTCTAGAATTAGCTACTTGTTCACAATGGGAAGGAGACAAGCAACTGATTAGCAGCAGCCTGTTCATTGCTAGCAGGCTAGTCAGATGCATTCCAAACCATACTTACTTTGTTTTGGAAGAGTTGAGAAGACAAGAAGTTTCGCTGTTCTTCTGAAAACCATTTTAGTAAGAGCTCACTAAAGGCTTCTAAATCTGCAGTGGTGATCCTGGATAGCTGCGTGCTGCAGCTGCGTTGAGTGGACCTGGCAGGGGAAATGGTGATGGCTGAAGGAAAACCTGTTCCTACCTAAGCATATTTAAAACAGGATCAGTACTATGCATACATTAGCTCACTGTCTGCTTCAGTCTGGCTGCTCTGAAACCTGGTGTTACTCCTGACTCTTCAGCTGCCCTCCTGGATAAGTCTGTGCAGCTGAGGCACCCAGGGCTTCTTTGCTAGCTGGGTGGCAAGACACTGAATAAGTAGAGACTGGAGACACTACAGATCTCCCCTTTTTTCCTTTTTTTTCCAGACACCAGTTGGAGATGCCAGGGCACTACTCCCATCTAGAGGCATTCTATGATGACAAGAAAGGAGTTCTCCCTGGTAGCAAGGGCACCTCCAACTCTCAGCAACCTGTCCACTGGCTGCCATCCATCCACAGATACATGTACCCAGAGATGAAGGTGAGGCAAGTGCTTGCAGGGATGGCCAGTGTACTCCTGCTCCTTGCTGGTGTCTCATACTTCTTTATGTAAGCAGTGACTCCAGCACTTTGTGGGCTGCTTTAAGATTTTGTTACTTGGACTGTTAAAAGCTGCAGTTCTCTGTCATTGCTGTGTGCTGGTCTTGCTCCCACATTTAGACTTAGCATCTGTGCATGTGTCCCTGTTTCACCTCTGAGCTGTTTTCTTTCCTTTCCCTCCACCTGCAGATCACACACCCTGCTGGCTGTATGTCTCAGTTCATCAAATTCTTCGGTGAGCAGATCCTTGTCCTCTGGAAGTTTGCCCTGCTGCGCAAGCGCATACTGATATTTTCACCACCCCCAGTTGGAGTTGTCTGCTATAGAGGTATGTTTCCAGGGACACCGCAGAGCTCTGATCTAGTAGGCTGAGGCATTGCAGAAATGCCTGTGGGTACTGAGGGGACAGACATCCTGCAGGTGTCCACCGCAACCATTCTCTGTGAAGATACCATTCAGCCTGCATTTGCCCATTTCCTACAAAGTGCTTTACTTCAGGTCTTTTGGGTAAGGACGTACCTGGCACTGTTGAACACAGTTCCTGTCAGCACAGGACAATATTGTGCTGAATGAATTTGTGTGGAATCTAGAACATGGGATTAAGTGTTCAAGGCCAGGTTGGATGGGGCACTGAGCAACCTGGTCTAGTGGAAGGTGTCCCTGCCCATGGCAGGGGGTTGGAACTAGATGATCTTTAAGGTCCCTTTCAACTCAAACCATTCTATGATTCCTATGGGAGAACTGATTATTTCCTATCTAAAACAGGATGTCCCCACTTGAGAAGTTCTGGTGTTCAGAGGTGTTACGTTCTAACAGTTGTTTTCAGAGAAGTGTGTGGGAGAACTGTGTAAGTGGGGTTCAGAATGCCCCTGAGGGAATACTGAAAGCATCTCAGGATGTACTTCTCTTGTCTGCAGTCTACTGCTGCTGTTGCCTTGCCAATGTTTCTCTGCCTGGTCTTGGAGGAACTGTCCCAGAGTCCAAACCATTCTTCTATGTGAATGTGGCAGACATAGAAATGCTGGAGACAGAAGTATCCTATGTGGCCTGTAAGTATGATGGATTAGGTGTGAAGTTTTTAACTTCAGGCTGTAAAGTGTCTTGAGACACCAGACTGTGGAATAAAACTGATGAGAACTTGGATGTGCGTGGAATGACTAACTACGAAAGCAGGAGAGAGCAGTTGGTCTGCTGGGAAAGCAACAAGCTGCTCTGAAAATCATCTCTGATTTTGGCAGGCACAACAGAAAAGATCTTTGAGGAGAAACGGGATCTCTATGATGTCTATGTGGACAACCAGAATGTGAAGACGCATCATGAGCATCTGCAACCACTCCTGAAAATTAATAATGCTGACAAGGAGAAGTACCGGCGGCTCAATGACCAGAGGTAACAATGGACATCTGGGTGGTCCTGATAGGACAGCAGTGTGATGTGGGATAAAGAGGACACTGCTCCTTTGTACTTTGTATTTTCAGAGTCGTGCACTGCTTCAGCTCATCTCTTTGGTTCCATTGTAGCTGACTGGTATGAGAGCCCTTGGGCACTCTGCACACATACAATCACTGCACCAGTGAGCTGATGGAGCAGGCAGAGGGCAGGAATTGAAGCAGAGGTTGTGACTCACCATTCGTTGACCAGTGATCAGTAGCACTACTGAAAACAGCCTGCTTTTGAGTCTAGTGCCGTATAAAGACCACGCTGTTGCCTCAGGCATTGGGGCAAGAGTGTCAGTCTGATTGGTCTCCAAGAAATGGATGTGATGTTTTTAGTTGTACTCCTTGTCATCTCATAATGCTTCAAGGTTCATTGTAGGCATGTGCAATTAATCTGTCTCCTTTATTTCAGGCAGATGTTAATGTATTCTCAGGAAGTGGGTGATGACTGTAACTCCTGTGAAGAGGACCTTTTCATCTTGTGAGTAGCTACCCATAATACTTAGTTGGTCTCCATCAGGCTTAGGGACCCTCTTTCACTGATTTCATGTTGCGCTGGTTTGGCATATTATGAAACATCATGGTTAACATAATGCCATAGTCAGCTCTCTTCCCTGAGGGATCCAAGAACCACCAAACTGACCCTTCCTCTTCAGTTCGTCTTTCTTTCAATTTGAGAAGCCAGATGCAGCTATATAAGTCTCCACTGGAGCCTCTTAAGTGCTGGGAGGGAGAAGGGAATTTTAAAAACACAGTTAGAAATGCAAGAATTCCCTCCCATTTTTTAAAACCTAAGCACAGTAGGACCTTTCATGCCAGAACATTTGGTTCAGGAAAAGAGAATGTGGGAAGCAGGCACTGTACTGTGCTGGGGGAGGTACATTGTGGAGATAAGAGCGCATGTGAAGGATTGGCCCATTGATGTGGCTGGCTTTGTACTTGGCAGACAGAAGAACCAGAACTGCACATAAAGTTTGAGGTATGGAATTAGATGAAAACCACACCTCTACCACCTCTGAAGCCCTTCAGTGCCTGTTGCTATTGTTCACAGTCTGCAGCAGGAGGGAAGTAATGGGATGAAGCTGTGTGAGGGGCTTTCGGGGCAGAGCTCTCATGGTTGAACTGAGCAGATGTAGTCAGAGCTCTTTCTGAACAGCCTTGCACGTTCCTAGGAAACCACTAGGTCAGAAGTATCTCTCACTGCTGTGTTCTGCAGCAGTAATGGAGAATTTATTTACCCAGTGGCTTACTAATGGATGACAACATCGTTTGCATTAGGGGAGCTATAGGTCTGGTGTACCCACTTGGCTACCACGAAGTACACATTAACTGATAACGTTGCCTTGCTTCTCAAGAGTGAAATGCCTACCGTAAATCAGCCCGACAGAAGCACTGCTGTAAATTAGAAGTTACTTCTTTATCTTTGTTTATTCTGGGTCATCCAGAGGGTGGGTGGACAACTACTAGAGTGTGACACTTGAAGAAGGTGGGATCTATGATTAAAGGGGGTTAAATGCAATTCTGGGGCTCTGCTGCCCGTTTGGTAAAGATGCTGTCTTTTTGGGGGTCCAATGCTGTCATCTTAGCAACTTTATCCTATAGGTTTTTCATGGAGCAGAACAACCGCATATTTCAGACGCTGATGGAGGTGTCGGCCAGCCAGGACAAGACACTGACAGCTGACCACGCACGAGGCATGGGCCTGGATCCCCAAGGAGATCGAAGTTTCCTTTTGGACCTGCTGGAAGTATATGGCATCGATGTTATGCTAGTCATTGACAACCCCTGCTGCACTTAAACCAAGGGCAAGAGATGGGGAGCAAAGACCACTTTTTAAAGACTACCAGACATTGCTTAGGAGGATCACTGGAACTCACCACAGCCACAGTTACTAAATAATGTTAAAGGGAGAGTATTTATAATTTTAAAACAAAATGTGATTTTATTTTCTCTCCCTCAACCTCCCAATGAGTACTTGCTCCAGGTTTTTTTTTGTTTGGTCGGTTGGTTTTGTCTTCCTTCCTCTTTCATCTGTGTTTTTTTGTTTTGTTTAGATGGGACCAGTGGCATGTTTGCAGCAATCGTTGCTGTTGCCAGTGATAGCTAGGTTTTGGCCTAGCCTGGATACCTGACGGCTTAAGGCTTCAGGAAAGCACTTTGTCTGATAGGGACCAATGTGAAATGCTGTAACTGAGCTCTCAAGACTTGACTGGAAAACTCTCCTATTATCCCCTCTTCCACCTGGGCACTGAAGAGAGCTTCAGCACAACTCAGTCTCATAAAACATCTGTCCTACCATGTTTATTGGTGGGGACAGTTAAGCCAATGATAAAAACTAGGACTCCTTTAAGCACTCCCCACCCAGCTTCTAGCAGCTGAGTTGGAATAAAGCCACCCTTCCTCATCAGTGGCAGAAGCAAGTTTGGAATAAGGGAGTGCTACAGGACCTTATGACTTTGCTTGCCAGAGTGGCATGGTTTCACTTCCAGCATCTGAGGTGGAATAAACTGGCAAAGACTACACCTACCCATCTCACAGCTGGGGAAGAGCACCGTCTCTACATGATCCCTCCTACCACTTCCTCTGGTCTTCAGCTGCATCACACCTGCTGCTTTGGTTTAAAATCTTCAAACCAGCAAGATGGTCTCCCATTTAACAGGGACCAACATCACTGAGCCACCTTGCAGTCAGTATGTTCTCCAGCCTCAGTTCAGAGGGTGCTAGGCTGGATTGGGTTGACTAAGTATGCTTTAACTAATGGCACTAGCCCTTCCTTTGTAGCAGATGGTACTCGTCACTCCTTTGCTTTAACGTTGTCTGCTGATCCTCTTTCTGTCGAGCAGCCTTCAGCACTGCCTGCAGCTGTCCTTGGCTTTCCGTGTGAGGCAAAATGGCTTCGCAGTTTGCAGGAGTTTCCCTTTGAGTTTGGTGTTCTTAACTGGCACAGCTGCTAGAAGCAATGTCTAACAGCAAGCCTTTTTTTTTTCCTGGGTAGAGAAGCTGTAGAACTAGATGAACAGTGTTTTCTTCTTGTGCTGTGGAAAGAGTAGGATTCAGTTCATGCAGGACCAGTGGTTACCTCCACGAAGGCTATCCCGGTAGAGTAATCCCTTTGCCATATGAAATCCAAGAATGGTACTGTGGGTTCTAGGTGTGACATACTGCTTTGCCCCAAGTCCTTTAGGCAGTAGTAGCATCAGCTTTAAGCTAACTGTTCTTCCTGAACTATGGCTATAGCTAATTAGCTGCTGCTTCTACCATAATAGACTTCAGCACCCTTGGAGGCTTTCAGTGGTTTGTAGGAATGCAAACTGTAGCTGACGTATCCATTTATCCTACCATTTTGTAGGATGAGACAGAGCCTCAAGTGTTAGTCTCACCTACTAATTCTTTTTAAAACAGGTGGAGCAAGTGTTCCCCAAGTAGACCCCCTGTGGCTTGTCTCCCTATGAAAGGAAGGAGGCTGGTATGGCCTGTTTTTTCTTGAAGGCTATCAGCAGCCGAGGGATAGTTTTGCTTGCTGTGGATTCAGAGGTTTTAGTGCTGAGTGGAATTGGGGGCCTCACAAGGCTTATTTGCACAGTTCCTTGGTATGAGCTTCAGCATATTCTGTTCCTGTGGTCTGGCTGTCTCTGAGCAGTCACTCCCCTGACAGCTTTTTCAGGGCTTTGGATGTTTCTGGGTGTCACAGGAGAAAACGTGCTGCTGCTTGTATTGCCAGTTGCTCACAACTGTAATGTCATCACCCTTAGAAGGTTGGGGGGAAATGGGAGAAAGAGTTAAAAACAGAGCTGAGTATCACTTAATGCAAAGACCAGTCTCTTTTCCTTAAGAAAAGGCTTTGGTTCTAAATTGGCACCTCTAGTAAAAAAGTGAGGCACAGTCTCCATGGTTTTTTCTAACCTCCACTTCAGGTGTTACATGCTGTCTGCAGTGAAGATCCCTGAGGAAGTGTAGCTGTCACTTAACTTCCTTCAGATACAAAAAAAGGAACTGAAACTAGTCTCTAGCAATTCTTCCTCTCACTTTCTTGAAGGTTTGCTACATAGTTGAGCTGTGGTCAGCTGTTAATGACTTTCTATTCTCTTTGATGCCAGTCTTCTTTTAACTAACTAGAAACAAACCTTTGTCATTGAAATTTTACAGCCTCTGCAGCTGGAGGCTTTCTAACACCTTGCATTAGAGCATTCTGTTCACAAGCTGTCAGAACATCAGATCTACTAGACAGCACTGCTAAGAGCCCACTGACAGAACCTCCTGAAATTACTATTTGACGTTTATTAAACTTCTGCTTTCCAGAAACTAGGTCTTCAGTTGCCAGCAGGAGTGTGGGTGCAGAAGGATCAAACCAAGCAGGTTATTGTAAAAGTAGCATCCATGCTTCATCCTGGCTGGATGGCTACAGCCTGTTTTGTTCTTCCTTGTAATACTGCTCCTCTACAGTCTCTCTTGACAGGTGACCACTACGAAAGTCAGGAAGTTGCCAGACAGAAAACAGAACAAGATGGTTTCTCTCTCCTCATCCTTCCTTGTTTGATTCACTGCAGAACTTTCCACCTGCTCTCTCCTTTTCTAACAGACACTGCTATTGGTGTTGTCACATGGAAAATCCTTGATAAATAGGTGCATAATACAAACAAATGGCTACAGCTTGGGTTTCAGCAGGCTGGTTTTGTTTGGAACCAGTTTAACTGTATCTTATCCTTCCAGGAGATGACATAATTCAAGGTAAAACAGTTAAGTGCAGACATTTAAAATCCCCTCCTTGGCACTTAATAGTTGCTTTTTTGAATACTAGCAGCTGGAAGGGAGATAGTTAGTGTACTTTGAATTACAAGAGGCAGAAGAGTGTGGCATAAGGTAGGGTATTGCTGATTACCATAAAATCCTCCTCTCCATACTTTGCCTTTACAGTGGTGCCTTTAGTTTGTGTGGTGTGATGCCTCTGGTCAGTTGCTTGTGATCAGAGCCCAGGCTGAATGGTAGTTACAGTAACCAAGTATATCCTGTGCCCTGGTAGACAGAGTCTGGAATGTTCCTCTCTAACACCCAAGGCATAGTATAGCCATTGCAGGTTCTCAGTTGGTACTCACTTGAGTTTGAATAGGAGAGCAAGAGCTTCATAACTGCATCTTAACTCAAGTTGCACTAGAAATGTATCATAAGAAGTAATGAATTATTAGTACTTGTACTATCTCAAATGGAGCATAAAGTGTGAGAAAAATAAAAGCTAGATTTACAATCTGAACAAGGGATACCATACCAGACACTGATACCATGCAAAAGTCTTCTCTCTGCAAGGTTAGGACAAGCTGCATAGCGTAAATTACAACTAAGAACTATAATAGATACTAGGAGAAAGGCATTTTACTGAATTAAGAGTTTAGATTTGGCTCAGAGACTTCTTTTCTAGCATATATGAATTATTCCAATGTATGTTAGAGCCAATGGTCATGTCTGTCACAGGAGATAAGCTCACCTATCCAGCATCCCTAAAGGCAGAAGAAAGTTCCATCACCTTTTCAAGAGAAAGCAGCTTACTCTACAGCTTATTCTGTAAAGCAGTTACTGTGATACTGCTGCCAGTTTTAAAAACTGTCAAAGTTAGTGGGCAAGAAGGTAGGAGTAGCTGTGGCCTTCCTGGGGACAGACTATACAAGTGACAGGGCATGCTTTGCTCCAAGATGTGGAAAAGCAGCAGCTTCTGGAATTGGAGAGCAAGAGCATGCTGTCCTAATGCAGAAGTCTAGGTACAAAGCATGCACACTAACCCAAATTCTCTCATCCTAGCTCTTACGTCTAAGTTAGTTGCTGTCTCCTTTCCACCCCTGCCAAATCTAGTAGTCTAGTGATTATGTTAGAAGACAACATAAATGTCTTTTGCAAGGGACTGGGATGTACTGACTTAACAGAATGTTATCTCTGTCTAAACCAGAGGGTATTAAATGCCTGTGGGCCAGGATTTCATGTCCTGGTTAATGCAACATGCCATTCAAATGGGAGTGTTTAATTGTGGTTAAAATAAACAGGTGCCTTGGGCTGTCCATCCTCAAGTTGTTATCCTTCCTTTTTATTTACGTTACAGTATTCAAAACCCTTCTAGAATGGACTGTAAGTTGAAGCCAGGATAAGCATTTTCAAGAGTGGGACCTAGGATTCTGCTCCTCCTTCCTGCCTTGGAGTTTATATGAAGTTGTCTCATGTTTCTGTCTGACAGCAAGAAGTGAGCCCTTTCCTCAGATAGCAGGTTCAGACCCTGCTTATTTTATTTAATGTTTGCCTCACACCCCTACCTCTGAATGTTGCAATTCAGAGGTCTAGAACCACCCCATAGTGGAAGGCCTCTGAACTATAGAGGAGGGGGGAAAAATTACTTGAATGGTATTTATACATGCTACTCAGCCTATGCTGATCTGAATATCTAATTATCAGCCTGTGTCTCAGATGATCTTTGGTACTTTAACATGAGAACAGCATTAACAATACCAATTCTAAAGGGAGCTCCTGGTTATCCTCAAGCAAGGAATCAACACTGCAATGGGAGCCATGCGTCTGATACTACGGAAGAGAATTAGTTGTTTTCCCTGTAAAATGAGAGAGATGAACCAGAAGCTAGTTCTTACCATCTCACCTCTTGCAGCAGGCTGGTTGTAGTTCTAACAGCTCTGATGTTGTCTGCATCTTGCAGATGTGTGGCTGCTCCCATAGGCCTGTGGCTGTGAAGAGAAACTGCTTACTAAACGATGGGTATTTTTTAATACAATTAAAGTGTACCTTTTTGAAATGGCTGCTGCTTTGTCTGTCCTGCCACTGGAGAGAAGGAAAAACATTGCTGATTTCATTAGAGAAGCATCAGCTTGAGGAAGAATTCAGTAGGGTGAGAACTGCCCCTGACTCTGAAGGACTCAGTGGCTGCAGAGCAACCTTCCATGTGTCTCTGTGGCACAGCCAATATGTTCCTTGGAGAGTGACCCAGGGGTCCACTGAGCACCCTTAATTGCTGCAGATCAAAAGAAAGACAGCACAACTCAGGCCCCATCACCAGCATAACTAATAAAAAGAACTAGTAGGCTTCTACCCTCTTAGATCTTAGTCAAGAAAGAGATGAGTGCTTGCCCAATAGCTGAGCTAATTAGTTTCTCCACCGTATAGCCAAGGGAAGGACAGCATTCAGTTTGGTTCTAGCATCCTGTGGAAAAATCAACCCTACTTCTCCTCACAAAACATTTTTCCTTCAGCAAGTCTCCAGCAGAGGATGCTGCTGTAGCACCCAGGATGCAGACTAATAAAACTGCAATTCACTAATGTCCTTATTTTGATTACAGCAAAGAATCAACAGATGAAGTTAGACTAGATCACAGCGTAACACAGGGACTACACACAAGCTACAATCACATCAGAAAAGTAAGAATCCATTTTTTTCTTCTTCCAGTAAGCAAGGCAGAATCATGTAAACTCGTAAGTTATAATAAGAAGGGCAACAAATAACCTTGCCTCAGTCAATAATATTTCCTTTCAGCAATTAAAGCAAAGCTATAAACAAAAGCTCCGAAAAGCAACAAAACTAATTACAGTACTGAGGCTCAAGGGGATGCAGATTGTGCAAGGAGTGGTGAGCACTGTTTACATTAGAGAATAGCAACCAGACACAATGAACAATAAAAGTTATTTGGATGCCCTTACTTGTGTTATTCTACTACAGGAATAAAAGGAATACTTACAAAAAAAAAAATAAAATAATAAGACTCATTTGGCTTGTTAAAACATGTACTTCACACAGCTTTGGGTCAATGGTGACATTTTCCAATTTGCTGCTCTGTAATGTGGCTAAACTTGATTAAAGGAATAGATTTCTACTCTATGATTAACTGGAGTGCAATGCTGTCGTATCTGGCAAGATGGAAGAAAAATAACATATCTTACCCAGGTACATACGGGCATTTTTTAACGTCCTCTGAAGCTTTGGATCACTAATCAATTTCCAGTTTATTTTGTGACAGACTAGAAAACCAATCACCTGTTTTAATGTAGCAATTCCAACGTTTCATAGACTTTCTTAGCATTACTCCCCAAAAATAATTTTTTCCAACATCCCAGGTTTTGCAAGATTTATACATAGGCAACTAAAGTAGACTTCACCTCTTAAACAAGGACAAGTGTGCTTTCATTTTACTTTAATATACAATTGCATTAAAGCAGTAGCATCTGGCACACAGCACTCAGCCTGCAGTGCTGTAAATGACTGCTGATGGCTTCTTTAGGGAAAAAAACCAAAAGGTGCCATCAAGTTAACATGCATTTCTCAGAATTTTAATTTGCATTTTTACCCCTCTGAGACCAGCCAAATCAGCCACTTCCAATGAAAGTACCTCCCACATAAAAATAGCCAAATGACTATGTGGACAAATAGACTTATTAGTCTGTCGGGGGTAATCAAGTTAGCAAGGTCTTGCGTGCCTTGAAGAGACCCCAGTAAGACTGGTAAACATGGCCCCTTTGACATGAATTCTCATTGTACTGTTGCATGGAGCATCTGCTCTCTAATTCTGGGATCACAGATGAACCGGAGTTTCCGGGGTAATAGCTTCACCTCCACAGGCATAGCTTCATACTCCTCATTATCAATGCCAAAGGATCCCTCAGTGCCCTGTGTACAGATAACAGTGTGAGCAGGGTTAAACATCAAACATTATTTCAGCAATGCTGTAATGCTGATACCTGGTTTTACTAGTTGAATAACTAGCTGAGTCTTAACCAAAATGACCCCCTCCCTTTGCCTTCCAGCCCATTAGGTCCCAGCAACACAGTGAGAGCTATCCTTCACATAATATATTCAGAATCTGTTGTGTAAGATGTTACCTCACTTAGTTGCTAATTGGTGGTAATTAAATGCTAGGGAGCCTTAATGACCCACATTGTTTATACTGAAGGATTCTTTGCTGTTGGAACCACAATTATATGCACTTAGATCTTGGTCTGCCAGTGGTGACACAAGTTAATCTACAGAAGTGCCTGTTAAATAACTCCTATTAAACCCACGTTACAAACATCTTTTAGTATTGTTTTACTATATTGATCTGAAACGTGAGATGCAAAGTAATTCATGGCTCAGGAATTACTCAGCAGTAGAATTTCCGTGAGCTTTTCTTTAATGCTGATGAAGTCACCAATGATTAAAACCATTTGTCAAAAATGTCAGGCTGACGTTACCCAAGAACAAATCTGGTGACTGCTTTGCATGCACTTGACTTAAGGTAGGACTATGTTACGTGGATACTCAAACGAGCTCCAAGTGAACTCAGACACTAGAACAGCACAGATTAGAGAAGGTAGTGTAGGTACAGCAGTCCACCTGCATCAATATATCCTGCTTCTCTGCAAAGCTGGTGAGACTCATCTGAGCTGCCTCCAGCTCCTTCATCAGAGCTAGGTCATGGAGTCGAACAGCACTGCTTTGTGCCATGCACACACACTCTGATGATCTTAGCAGCAGCTACAGTATGAACAGCTCATTTTATATCACAACCCTTACTGATGGCTCAGCTGTACTTAGCCCAGCACTCCAGAGTATTGTCTCAGAATCACAAAATTGTCATGGTAAAAGTTTGATGCAAGTATTAGGATGCTGGCTAGTCATGACATCATAATTCATGATTTTCACTTGGTAGTGAGAGAATTTTTCACCTTTTGGGTAAAATGTACACATCATCTTCAATACTAAGGAGAAGAAAGTGTGCATACACAATACACCTGAATAAGAAACCCCTCACGACTACCACCGCTGCCTAAGGTGTGCCACTATTCACTGGCAGAATGAAGCTGCCCCTTGGGTTTACAGACCACTTGGGAAATTCCAGTATGTGTCTCCTGGCCAGAGACATAGATGCTGTACTGAGGAACCGAGTGTCTTCCTGGCAGTGCAATGAACCTCCCAGACTGGAGTAAGGATTTCTTAATGTGTAGCATCAACTGGTATGAGGAAATAAAGTGACAATTTTCCAGCTCCCTCAGCCTCTCACCTCTGGAAGTTGCAAGATGCATCTGCTGGCTTGGATACACTGACTCCCTTCAGGGCACGTATGTGGATCATGCATCTTTTGACTTCTGTTCAAACCAAAAGAGAGGTAAGGTTAGGAGATGTTTCTCTTGGAAACAGCCATCTTTAGGGATCACATGTCATTGTGGGTTGGTAAACTTGGAGGTTATGCATATATACAAATATTTGTGGGTTTAAATGTGAGAAAGGGAAATACACATTCCCTCTTCTGCTGCAGTCAATACATATCAGTATGCACTGACAGCCTCCAGCCTGCTTCTGCTCTGAGGCTCACTGAATATATTTGAACGTAGAGTCGTATATTTGAACATACGGCACAGTTTGCATTCCTCTCTTACATGCTGAAATCTGCAGTTCCTGCAGTGACTATCAGCTCCTCATATCCCATGCAGCCACATGACTTACCAGCAACCTAAACAACTCTAAGCCAAAAAACACAGATAGAATTATACTTAAACTGAACCACTAAGTTACCATATAAAAACCAAAGAACCCTCATCTCACATCAGCACCAATCATCACAACATTTCTTATGAGCTGCTTTTATATCATTCTTGCAAAGAAACCCCAGAACATCATAATTTTATCCATTCCAAATAATATATCTGGTTTTGTCACTCTCTTCTGGTGCCTGTAAAGTTCTTATTTATGTATGTACTTAGAGGAGTGCTACTCTCCTGCTTCTGCAGATGTCAAGCACAAAGGCAGATGACTGTCTTAGAAAGCTGGTGGTGCAAGTTTTTCAAGACTTGGGTTGCTGTCCTGTCACTGGACCAACTGTTGAAGAACAGTGTGTTGTGATTCCTTTTCTCAACGTGTGCTGCTGCAGAGTAAGCACAAGCTCTTGGGTATGCTGACCTACCTCTGGCCTCCTGACTGAAAACACACATAACCTTTTTACTGACCTTTGACAAAGGGGACATCACACCCCAGGCAGTAACCCTTCAGTTTGGGCCCCTCTCCCAAATCACAGCAGCAAACAAGTAGTACCGAAGGGCACAGCAGAGTTACAGCATTAACACAATCACAGCTCTCAAGCACGGCTGAATTACCATAGATGTTTTTCCAACAGCTGTTCCCAACTTTTCTGTCTATTCTGTAGACTGATATAAAAGAATATAAATATTGCCCAAGAAAAGAAGTCACAAAAACATGTCAGACTCTCTCTGTACACCAAGTTGCCTATGCCCTGAGGAATGCAAGGACTCCTTACAGAAAATCCCAGAGAAACAAGATGAGAAGAGAGAGCTGAACAGAAGATGATAAACAAAGACAAAGGAAGAAAGGTTAAGATACCAAAGGAAAGGGCAGAGAAGGACGGAAGCGGTATTAAGTGTGGAAAGTTTGGTTTTAATCAAATACATATATAGTAAAAGATTAATGAGTGAATGTGAGGGAATTAAACATCCTCCTGGCAATATAAATTATAAATCATTGATGGTATGCAATATTGTCAGTTTATACAGTGCTGAACAAACAAGCAGCAAGATTCCCCACTTAAAGTTTAACCTACTCAAAGTTTAACAAACAAGGTCTTTCATATTGCACTTTGGTGAGCAGTAGATGGGTTTGGTTCATGAGGGTAAGTAAGCCTCTATACATATGCAATTATAGCGTCAAGGTAAGCTCAAAACCACAAGACATGGAATTAAAGATCAGCCAAAGGAGAAAGCTGGTAGAAGCAAATAGACACAACTCCATTTGCAGTGATTGCCTCTCTAGTGACCCAGCATAAAAGGATCAGAAATAATTTCCATTTGATTCTTTTAATTTTATTTCCATTTGATCCTTTACTATGAGGGTGGTGAGACACTGGAACAGGCTGCCCAGAGAAGTTGTGGCTGCCCCATCCCTGGCAGTGTTCAAGGCATTTTCCACTGAGCAGCTTTCCAGCCACTCTTCCCGCAGCCTGTAGTGCTGCATGGGGTTGTTGTGACCCAGATGCAGGACCCGGCACTTTGCCTGGTTGCACCTCATACCACTGGCCACAGCCCATCGATCCAGCCTGTCCAGATCCCTCTGCAGAGCCTTCCTACCCTCCAGCAGATCAACACCCCTGCCCAGCTTGGTGCCAGCTGCAAATTTACTGAGGGTGCACTTGATCCCCCCATCCAGGTCATCAGTGAGGATGTTAAACAACACTGGCCCTAACACCCAACCCTGAGGGACACGATGAATTCCAGTTTCCCACCCCCCTTGGCACTCGGCCGTCCAGCTAGTTTCCAACCCAGCAAAGAATGCATCCCCCCAGGCCATGAGCAGCCAATTTCTCCAGAAGGACACTGTAGGAGACAGTGTCAAATGCTTTTCTTAAATCCAAATAGCCAGTGTCCACAGCCTTTCCCTCATCAACCAGGTGGGTCACCTTGTCACACAAGGAGATTAAGCTGGCCAAGCAGGACCTGCCCTTTATGAACCCATGCTGACTGGGCCTGATCACCCTGTTTTCCTGCATGTGCTTTATGATCTCAGTTAGGATGATTTAATCCAGTGGGAAAAAAACCACCACAGTTCTGCGTTGGCCGGGAATCGAACCCGGGTCAACTGCTTGGAAGGCAGCTATGCTAACCACTATACCACCAACGCCTGACAATACCTGTTCTTCCCCACCTCATCTTAAACATTAGCTCCACCCCTGCTGTGGATGCTTTTGTTCACACAAATCTGATCCACAGCCAGAGGGTACTTATATACACCTGGGATGATCTACTCCCTTCTTTGAAATCCAGCAGCAGTTGTTCTCCAGCACTCCGATGCATCCCCATACACACCCACTGCACAGTAGTTTCCTGTTGGATGTGTTTCCTCTCTGTGATCATCAGTTCTGATCAGCTTGTGCCAGTGTCTTCTTCAATATAAAAAAACCCAAACCTCAATATCTGCACTGATAAAGCATTTTCCCTAAAAACCTTTTCAAATCCACCCCCCCCCCCCAAATTCTGGCCACTGCCCCCCCCCCCCCCCAAATTCTGGGGGAGTTTATGAATTCTAAAAGAAGAAAAAAAATAAAGAGCTTCTTCACACATTGCCAAAGACAAACGTGATGCTAAGCAATGGGAAGCCTCTCACAATGGGCTTGATTCAAACCCAGCTGCCCAAGGGCATTGTGTGGTGAACAGCTTCTCTGAACACCCTGATTTTGCCATGCAAAACCAGGGTGCACTCCGAGTCCTTTCTGCAGGACTAGCCAGTCCCTCCTGCTGCTCCCCCACCCCATACACCCCTCTTTCTCTTTGTTCCCAACACACTTTTGGGCACTATTTAATCAAAAGAGCTTGTTTCTTTGAACTTTGCTTGAACAGCAGCTCAAATCTTTTGGTACTGCCTCTAATTAGCTCCAGCCAGCAGGGCACGTTAACCCTTATCAGAGGCTTTTTTCTGCATGACAGTACAATTCCAGCCAGAAAATGTGACATACTACTGTGTGAAGCACGTCCAGTCCACACAGGAGACATTCTTCACAGCTCAAATACCCCTCCCTTAAATCCCACAGATTCATCCACATCCCAGCATAGCATCTCCTTTGTCTCCCTCCTTTAAGAAGCCAGATTTCTCTTGTTGCTAGTGGGAAATCTCCTCCTTTCCTTCTCTGGCCTTCTAAACAAAAAATCCAGTTCCAAGTAACCTATGGCCCACATGGCTCATGCAATTTAAAAGCAGTTGCAAGGTGGTAACAGGACCTATTGGATATGCATAGGTCAGAAGATCCTACACCCACTGAGGCTCATGGGATGCTCAATAAGAAGTCTGTTGTTGCTATCAACATCATACACAGAACATAAATGCAGAATCATCGGGGTGATGACAAACAAGTAAAACTGTGGTGAAATCTTTCCGTTGATTTCACTAGAGGGAGCTCTAGGACTAGAAAACGGTATTGGCACATAAGGTAACATGCAAAAGAGCACTAGAGCACTCTGATTTAGTAGGAAAACCTCGTGCTCGTAAAATCTGCATTGAATATGCAATGTATTTGCTAGGGGGACTGTAGAGAGGAGCTTGAAAAAGCAGCTCATATTTGTGTCTGGTGACAGCAGGGGGAAAAACTGCACTATGAGACAACATCCAAGCACAAAGGAAGCAATACACATTCACTTTTTCTTTCTCTACATTCTACTGCTTCATATCTGCAGCCTTCTTACTCCACATACAAGCAGTACCAATATATTTGCTTAAAGTCCCTGTTTAAATTCGTATCTTCCAAAAGTTCTTCCAACTCAGACCTGATTTCTCACAAAGGTTACAAATCAACGGAGCTCTTCACTTAGAAGCAGGGCCTATCTAATCAGAGTTCAAAACTCCAGGCACCCTAATACAAATACATCAGCTCTGTGACCCACCTCTCAATCCACTGAGCAGCTTAGGGCTAAAGGATGCTGGGGTTAAGTCTGTACGGCTTTCTATAAAACTCGGTTAGGACAGTATTATGCAAGTAGCACTGATCAACAGCAATGGGGATAAAGATTAAAGGTATAGAAAACTCAGAAGTGAGGAAGAACTCCAGGCAGACTGCTCTGCCCTGTTTCCAGAAAGAGAAAATTAGTAAGAATTTTAAAGAACAGACTCAGTAATCCCCATGAAGCATTACTGATGGGTGTCCTTTGTAGTCCTCTGCTTCTGAATTTTGCAGCACAAGATCAGAGAAAACCAGCACACTTCCTAGAATTAGTGTTCCGAGTCATACAGAGACTGTGTCATCTTTTTGCAGCCTTCCCATACTCACCCTCTGCTTACAAACTGCCCTTTGCTGACAGTATCCTCTTCAATGCAAACATCCATGAAGTCTTCTGTGCGCTGTGCAAAGGAAACACATCCAGAAATCAAGCAGTGAACATTTCAAAGTGCCACACCCATGATACTGCAATGTGTTCACCCCATGCCCCATCCTTTGTCCCACAAAAGGAGGCAGAAGATGCATTTCATGCTTTTTTCTGTTCTCATCTTGAGATTCAGGTTATAAATTATAAGTAGTCATTTCTCATTGATGACTAGTCAACAATAAACACTGCAAATGAAATGATGATTCACACATTTGGTTTCTTGTTACACTTCACACTTATTAAAGACAGTAAATAGGACATCACTTGGGTTAGCTTTGTTCACAAAGACTTCTAATCAATGGGTCTTTCATGAATTTAAGCACTACTACAATGATGCAACATTTTGCACTAAATGCTACAGTAAGAGAATTTTAAACAATACAAATTGGAAGTCAAAGTGTTCTTGATATCATTCCTTTAAACTCCTTACTTAGCTTTTTCTCTATTTACAACCTGTCCTTAAGCCAAGTATACAGTAATGCTTTTGCCAGGAAAGCAACTCAGATTAAGATGCAATTCATTTTTTATTTATTTTAACATTTCTGTCCTGGCAGAAGTCCTAGTGCAGGTGCAATCAAACGACAGAAGTAAGAGTAAATGCATCTATTAGTAGCACTTGTTTTATTTCTTTGCTGTATCTGCAGAGGTAGGCTTGGCACTGCGTGAGCTGCACCTTTATGCCTTTATCAGCTTCTCTTCAACAGGGCAGCCTAGCAATGAACCTGAGGTGACACAGAAACGCAGGAGTGGCTGACAATACTCAGCAGAGATGCCCTGATATCGATCAGAAAGCTGTTGTTCAGCTTAAGATGGCTACAGGGACAATGGCTTCACAAGTGAGAGTTATAAGGATTCCACATCTGTAGAAAAAAAGATGCAGCATCAAGGTACTTCCAGCTCCAGAAACAGAAAAGTACAACATCCCTAACATAAACCTGTCCATTTCTCTAGGCTATGTAAGAGACCTGAGAACCCTACATCACTTCTTTGTTCAATACCAGTATTAAAGGGTATCTTGTAGGCATAAGGGAAAAATAAAAGGCTGTAAGGGTTAGTCTGTGGCAATGAGACACCATCCCATTTCTTGGTAGGTCTGTTTTTACTTCACATCACTGACTCCAATCCAAGCTGGCGACCAAAACTGTTCTGTTCAAGTGCCATCTAGAAAACACTAAAAACCCCAACACTAATCTCTGTCTAGCTTCTACCATTACTAGGACCTTGGTGGTCCAAATCACAAGGCACTGATGAAGAAACTAAAACTTATGTGGTACATTCCAAGAGAAAACAGGAGGACATTTTAAGATTTGCTGTTGTTTGGGGTTTTTTTTTGTCTGATCCTACAAAAACAACATACCAATGTGACACAAATTTTTAGGTTCTTAAAGACCCAGAATTCTGAGCAAGAAACACGCTTCAGTAAGTTCAGCACCTTCTCTTAATGTGGTGCAGTGGCAGTGGCTTCCTGCAGCCATGAGGAAGACATGACGATCAGCTCACCACTACGGCATCACTGTGTTAGCATTTTCCAGTAAAATTAAAGACTGACATCTGTAATAGCTTTCACAGCAATCCTAAGCTGCTGTTTGGCTAGTAGAACTTCCTTGTGCAATTCTTCCATCCCCATTTTACATGGGTCTCCAGCGCTTTTTCACTGGCTCTGTAACTTGCCCATTCCTGGATTCAGTCGTGGGCCCCTCCTTGCATGGGGTAGTAATACTTGTTTATATAGACACAAGAATGGGACTTTAGCAAGAAAGGAAAACTGTGTGGGCAGGCAGCACTTGGAATCCAGTTATACTATAGCCTTACTGTCAGATCAAGCTGCCTGTTCCGAGTTGCAATGGAAAGCTCAATGGTGGACAGCTTCAGCTCTTCCCAGTCCTCCGGGGCTACCTCCTGGGGGATTTCTGCAAATCAGGAAGAGAAGGTATCATTAAGTGGAATTTAATTACACAGATCATCATTTCACTGCTATGAAGCATGAAACATCAATGCCAGCTGCAAAAAATCACTCTGACCCATTGTGACCACTAGTGCTGTTTCTTTCAAACATCAAAATCTTTTAAAAGGGAGTTTGGGAGCACTGAAGTTAAAAAAGAGCACCAGCATTCACACAGTAGCAGGAAAGAATATTAAGCACATTATACAGCAGCCCTGTGAGTCCTTATGCCCAGGGATTAACCCAGGTCTCCTGGGCTAGTATTACAGCAACATTTAGAAAACACATGAAGTGCTGCTAACAAAACCACAGAATCCAATGTTCAGGATGCAGTGGTAACATGTATTTTCTATAGGAGGAAACTCCACGGTTCAGTTCTCATCTACGGATCCATGCTTCCGTTTAAATCACCTCTGCTAGCCAAGAAGGAATGAGAAGGACTTTGCATCACACCAGATTATGCAAAATACACTCTCCTCTCCTTCTGCAGTCTGCCACGTGCACTGTCTAGCTGAAAACCCAACCCAAGAGAGGCTGCCAAAGCACACAGAGAAAACTTATGGAACAGAAAGAAATTTGATGTACTAAGAGACACTTAAAGGCTTCTGCATGGCCCAAGTTTTATTGTTCTTTTTTAACATTTGTTACTCTGTGTCTGCAACTCCCTCAACCCTGGAAAACAAGGGCTGCTCCTCTCTCAACAGCTCACTAAGAAGTCATTCTGTGGGAGGAAGATTTCAAGGAGCTCACTCGTAAGTGCCAAATATCACCTGTGGAGGCTTCCATGGCGATGACAAGCAACTGCGAGCCTAGGAAACATCCTGGGTTCTTTACAAATACACTTTTGTTTATGAGACCAGAAGCAGTGGCTGGACCTACTCTGCTCCATTTCTGGCAGGTAACACTGTAACTATCTTGAAAAAGTCACAGTTTTAAATAATAATAACAATAACAACAACAATCACAATAATATAAGTATAAAAATGAGAGCGCAGAAAAGTAAAGCATAAACCCTTCCTCCTCTGGTCTATTAAGAGTAAAGCCTGCCTGTAAGTTTATGCCCAGCTACACACACCTCACCTTTTGAAGGAGATGACCAGTATAACCGAAGTCGTCTGTAAAGCCTCACATACAAAGGAGGTCTGGACGGTTTCTCCTCTGGCTCTTCTGGAGGTCTCTCAGTTGGACCCAGATACATGAGAGCTGCCTGATGTTTCTGAGGCCATTCCTTGGATTTACATGGAAAGGAAAGACAGAAGATAAAGAGCCTTTTGTTTAGCACCTACCTGTTTATTCTGTTTAGTCCTTTAGCCTATTTGTTCTGTGTTCCCAAGTACTCCTGCAGAGCTACCCAGATCCCACCACTGCCTCAGCCTACTTCGTGGCTCTCCAGCTTCCAGATTCATATGAGATGACATTTTTTGTAGCTTGAAAATATTACCCACAGTTCCCAAGTCTACTAATCTATTCCTTCCCCACACAGAAGCGAGATATTTTCCTCTAAGCAGAAGGTAAAGGGATGCTTTTCTTGCTGCTGATGTGTGGCAGGGTGACACAGCTGCTGCTGGCTGGAGGGAACAACTGAAACGGGCAAAGTCAACATCGATGTTTGAAAGCAGAATTGGTTTCTGCATGGCACAAGGCAACCTCAAAGAGAACTACACAGCAGGGTCTAGTGCAAACAAATACTACAGTGCTGTGCGCAGCCAAGGGGCACTAAAACCTGGTAGGCCTTTGTTCTCCAACAACTCAAACAATCAAGATCTGACCTTACAGTCAGGTGCTTATAAAGAGCAATACAACGGTCTTAAGGCAAGTCAGGTGAGCTTTATAAAGCATCTGGAGTGGGGGGTGAGGAAGTAACACATTATTCTCTGTGATATTTCAGATTCCTGTCCCAGAAACTGATGGGCTTAGCTCCTAAAATACTCCCAGGTGCTGACAAAGTTTATATCCTCTCATCTTGTTTTAAAATTAATTTCTGAAATGCTCAAAACACAGGACTTATGGAGGGAAAAGCATAATTGTTTTTTAAATGTAGGTACTAAACCAACACAGCCAAGAGCCCACATGTACTCAATACGATTCTTTTTCTACACACAGAACTTCAGAAGTAGATTTGGATCATACAGTACAGGTTGTTAAGCAAATTCACCTCGCACCTCCAAGAGCAAGGAAAGACTCCACTACCATGCTTAACATAATAAACAGGACAGGGAGTGAATCAGTAGGGCAATACACAATAAGTTTTAATGATTTAAGGGAAAAGCAGCATAACAATGTCTCTACTAACATCAGGAGTGAGCACTTTGCTCTTACACTGCTTTTAGCTACAGGTCATCCTGTTTCAAATGACAGCTACAGCAAAACCAGAAAAGATGATGTGCACAGCAGCAAAGACAAGCCAGGAAGAAATTAATCTCAACAGATTGAAACCATTTCTTATAGAAATTAACACAATGGTAACATAAGAGGCACATAAAGCAATGAATAACACAGCCAGGGGAGATCAGGCAGAAACTTTTTTTATCTTGATAGCAGAAAAAGTGGGCACTTCTCTTTAACCTTCACCAACTTAAACAGATCTTTGTAGTGTACCATGAATAGCTCACCAGTGAAACCCACTATTACAGCCAATAACTGAGGTTAAGGACTCACCACAAGTGAGAAAGGGTCTGCAAATAAGTGAGGAATGGGTTTCTACCTAGAATGCCAGCACACAGAATTATTATCCCAAATTTCCTGGGGACGGGAGAAAAAAACCCCACTTTAATGAATGCATTACAATCTAACTCCCCTTTACAGGAGCTTCCTATAAAGGAAGCATTGGCACTATCACAGACAGCAAGGCTGGACTGCACAGTCTGATCTACCATCCCAGCTCCTGGGTTCTTCCACAGCCTTTCATAAGGCTCCTTATATGTTCAGAGAACAGGAAAAGCATGTGAATGAAAATGCCTCACCTTTCACGCAGGTCAAATTTTAATCCTTCCAGGACCAATTTTAAGCAATAGAGAAGCTTAAGGTGAGATACAAGCTATTAATCTTCATGTTCATTTTACTACACATGGAAGCCTTATTATCTACATGCACGAGCAGTCTGATTATAGACACTTCTGCCAGATTAATAAATCAAAATGAAATGTTATCATAAGAAAGGACTGTTGAGAAAGCTGACAGAGCTCTTAATGGTTACATCTTCACCACCACCACTGCTTTCCAGTTTCAAGGTGGTTACTGGCTCCCCCTGGTGATCTTGCAGCAACAGATTCTCAGTAAAGAAATTTTTTTTTTTAAGTATTTCTCCTCCCCTTCACCTTTTCAGAAGTTAAGTCTGTCCATTGGTAGGTTTTTAACGAGTTGAATTTCAGTCCCACTTTATATTGTTACCAGAATCCTTCCCAAAAACCTGCAGATAACTCACACAAAGCATAGTCAGCTTTTTCATTTCCCAACTACAGAAACACTTTCCTTGCAATTACTCTTTACCTTCAATGTACTGAAAAAGTGAGCTGCTTTGGTTTTCAGAGGCCCAAGGTACCAGTACCTAAAATAAAAAACATAAATACTACTTTTAAGATATTCAGGGGTTTTAGTTTAATCTTGCATGAAGTCAGATCTCTCAGACTTGTTTGCCTCTGAAGTCAGTGCTCCCCTACAACCTTTAGCTTTGTGACACCTGTAAGACGGTTTCTACATATTACCAACAGCTTGGCAGTGACATCCCTTTCCCAAGTTACAGATCATCAAAATGCAGTATACAATCTTCACTACAGGCAGCACAACATCTCAGCAGCAGAATTTTACCTAGTTACATGATACAATTGGAAATGATTTAGAGATCTGTGGTCTAACTGCTGGTGGGATGCACCTCCACAATATGCAATAAAGAATGAGGTTGGAGGAAACAAACAAACAAAAATCAACAGCTTCAGTGACAAAAGAACAGAGCCAGCAAATATTGATTTCGATCTGAGAATCCTTTGGGACAAATGAATGTTTTACAAAATAAAAATCCTGTCAGTCTTACAACATTGTATAGAATCTAAAGATGTGACTATATTTAGGCAGGCTTGGCACCCATTTTTATCACTGTCTTCCACCAAAGAAGGTCAACAAAGCACATTAAACACCATCAGCTTAGCAGTACTGCGGATCTAAGTATATCATTAATTTCTAAGGCAGGCAACTGTCACACCCATCCCATCAGGCTACGAAATTGTCTGTAAACTAATAAAACCTCAAAAACATAAACCACCAGGACAGTGCTTAGCAGAGGGACAGTCAGACAAATTTCTGGAACTGTGGCTTATGCCTTAACTCCCTTTGTAACAGGTGCCTTCTTTTCAGAGTAAGATCAGTTGTACTGGAACACACCAAATGTTTAGTTTATTTAGCCCAATAACCCATCTCTCTTGGGTACCAAAAGCAGATGAAGTGCAGAAGTATAAAAACAGGACAAGCACACAGGGTTCTTGTCCCAGGCACACTCTGAGCACCCATTCATTTGTGGCTGAAGTGCTTTTCCAACTGGGCACTTTCTGTGCATTTGAAAACGTTCATGGAAGAAAATGAGGTTTGAGGATGTGCATGCTGCCCCACACACAACAGGTGCTGTCATGTCTCCAGCACCAAAGCCCAAGGACTCTTATGAAAGGGAACTGCTCCAGGAAAAGATGTGAAGGCTGACACTAGGCAAAACCAGGGTACGAGCAGAAAAGCTGTAAGAGTGCAGAGGGAAGAGAAGTGCACTTCCTTAATCTTGGGGCTGTAATTAGCAGGAGAGCCTGCAGCACAGCCAAGTCAGCACCTACACAAGCTACCAAGAATGTCTCTTGCTTCCCATGGACAAACACTCTGACCATTTACTCCCCCACCCCACATCACCTCACAAACCTGCTCAAAGATTTCCCAGGTCTGGTACCTCTTGCTTTCTGGCAAAGGTAGCTCATTCACAAAACACATGGTATTGCTGCACAGCAGAGGCATGTGCTGCAATTCCTCCATAACAATTTGAGAAGTGAACTGCTTTGGCCCTGCTGCTCCTTCACCAGATAATGCTAGTCATTTGATACACAGGCAGTGGCATATTAAATGTCCATTTGGAGAAAGCCCAACAATTATTAGTTTAGCATTCAGAGAACAGTCATCAAACAGCACGGCCCATGCCATTTCTGGCAGGAACTGAAGGGCATTTCTACTGCATCTGATGTCCCTTGTCGGAATTGAGTTACAGCGTCTGCGTGCATCTTTTCATTGGCAGCTGATGAAAAACAATGGCCAATTACTTTACTTAGACTTTAGTCAAGGGAGAGCTTTTTCCACTTATACAGTCTGTATAAAGTTCCAGAAGTGGGCACCACAAGGCAACCAGAAAGTGAATGCTTAAAAAAGCAGGTCTGCACTAAAGAAGTGTTTGTTTCAAATGATGAAAAAACTCTTACACACCCATGTGTGTAATGCAAGACCCAACGAGAGTGAGTGCCTGTCAAGTGCCTACACTCAAAAAAAGACTTCTTTATGAGAGGAGATACGTCTTTTTAGGCAGCAGATGCTAAAAAAGGTACTGTTTCAAAAACCAGCATTTTCTTACTTGCTAGCTTTAACTCCTGCATCTCTGTAAGAACCCCATCTTAAACCAGTCACTGCAAACACAGGCTGCTCCTTTTCTCCCTGTAAAGAAAAATAAACATTGCAAAATGGCTTTCTTTTGTTTCCAGCTCTGTTTTTCTCAGCTAGAAAAATATCATTCCTATACAAAACCTGATTTCTGATTAATCCTAAAAATGAAATTTCACAGAACAGGTATTATAACTAGCTAAGAGCAATAAAGCTAAGCAGAATTTAAGCATTATATATTCCTTTCTGGGACCAGATGGAATGTAAGAGATGAAGTTTTGAGGAGGCTGATTTGAGTTTGACTGCACATCCAGTAATAGCCATTTCATTTTCTGGATACTGTCAGCCAAAAGCAAGGAGCTCTGCACAGCGACACTTAAGTTCTTGCTGCAGAAGTGTCCATTTTACAATATAACAGCAAAATAATATTCAAAAACCATACAGTCATAGTAAAAGCTTTTCCCATTTTGTATTTTTCAGTTTGTAAAAGAAAGCTATTAACTTCACAATACATATGAATGCATTAAATCAGCTCAGACAGGTATTGTTATCTCTCACCATTTCTACAGAAATTCCAGTATTAGTAAGCTTTGTATTTGTCAATACTCCCTGTCCCTCAAAAACAAGGTTTTCAGGCATTCTAGGGTTTTCTGCATTTTAGACTATCTGATATCATTGCACAGAGTGGAGAAGTAACTGCCATCAGAACTGCTAATATCATCAACCAAAATTCATGACAGCATTACACAGAGGAAAAGCAGTCCACCTAAACAAAACATAGAACAGGAAAGTTTTAGGAATGTTGGGTGCCAAATAAGTAGATGCTTTTACCTTGATCTGCAAGATATCAAGTGGAATTGTCTCTCCCTTCAAAATGGCCAATGTAGCATTAGTAATATGTCTGCAAAACAATCAGGAAAGATGCAAAGGAAAACAAATAGGAAGGAAAATAATAAGCTTTAAAATTACACTTTTTTTTTTTTCCAGCAAACCCCACTACGAGTCCAGGTGGGTCTTTCTTGCAGCAATCACACCACCACCAGAGAAGGAACTCTGACAAAGCACTTCCCTGAAATCAGACAGCAAACTGGGTGGCTGTGACACATGATGAACAGCAAAAGACCTGAACAGCAAAAAGAAATTATCCACCTAAGCTTTTCAGAAATTCCTCCTTCTTCAGCTAATGTGGCAGATCATGTGCCAACTCTGTTATTTACCATTGTGGATGCTTAACACACTACGGACCCAAACAATGGTTTTATTATACTAGTGGCAAGTGTAACAACCTGGGAAACAAGGGAATGGTCATGAGACCATGGTCTCGATTCATGTGTCTGGGATTGAATTGCCTGAGTATGTTAATTTGTTTTGAAGTTTTTAATCAACATAAATCTACCTATCAGCAGCACTCCTGTGGTTTTGGTCTCCATAAGGTTGCAGACCAAAGCTAAGGCACTTTCTCATTTCGAGCCGTAAAGCATGGCGCTAAAGATTTTGTAACTACAAGTTTATAAAGAAGTCCATGTTCAGATCTTGAGGCGTATATTTCATTAAAACTCCTTCATTGTTTTCAAAGTTCAGTAAAATTTAAATTCCACATTGCACACATTTCCAGTGTCTCACCTGGACAGGGGAAAAATCCCAAAGAAACCCCCACCCCCACCCCCCCCCAAAATAAATGTAGTTTTCAGATCCAGTCTCATATTCATGTGAGAGAATCTGCCCTTAACTTCATCAGGAATAGAATACTAAGGCAGAGGAGGAAGCTGTTCTTCCCTAAGCTCCTCTTTTCTCCTAGCTCTTGACTTTCTGCAAGACCTCTACGATTCCTACACTTCAAAGATAAGATAATGCTGAAGGAACCACAGCCCAAATATGTATTGTTACGATACCACTTCTGCACCTCAGTCTGGTTCCGTTATTGGTGTGGCTTGTTAAGCAGTCTATTTGACTAAATTCCTTTCAACTTCACCAATATGCCGCAGTCTCACCTGCACACTTCATTACCTCAGGACAAGAAGATCATTCATTTCAAACTGCTTCTTTAGAACCCAAACATAAATTATTATTTTAATCTTAGCTGACGATTACAGTCCTGTCCATCTTGCCAAGCTTCAGAGGATGCTGGTAGTCTTAATGAAGGATGGTATACCAGTTGGCTCATGGGGTTTATGTATGATGGATACCAGCAAGGGTTCCGCAAAGAAAAGTGTTAATGACTTACTGGGAGAAGCAGAGCAAACAGATTTCAGGAGCAAGAAGAAATACATTCATTAGTATGGGAGGAAAGGAAGGGAAAAGATTAGTTGACTAGCCTTTTTACTTTAGAAGTGGACAAAACAATCTTACAACAAACTGAAATGCAGGCAGCAATCACTGCCAGACTGGATGATACCCAGGATGCTGATAGAGAAGATTCAGGTTGCTGCAGAGTTGCCAGCATCAGTCCTATCAAAGGGATGAACAAGAAACCCTGAAAAAGTCAGTAATAGGATTCAGCCTTTCCCATAAAGGTATTCCTGTATGCCCTACTTTGCAGGCACTAAACAGGTTATATGCAGACTGGTTTCTACAACTCTCAAACTAGAGAAGGAATGGAAAGAGAACCTCTTTTTGTTTTGTTTTGTCATATCCTTGCTATACCCTTGTCATATACCATGCCAATATCCTTTCTGACTCCTTTAGTATCTTTTTTTAATGAGCATCACACATCACATAGAAATTAGCCACAGCAAATTATTTCATGTTCTAATGATACATACATTTTCTTCTTTTGATTTTTAGGTAGTTTTTGGAAGTCATTAACTTAGGCCAGTCCAGAGAACCATCAGGCTCTGCCCAGAGATTGTCAACTTCTATGTAACATTGAAGAAAAAGTATCAAGCTACCAAGGAGCGCTGCTCCTTGAGAACAAACAAAAAAAAGCCCCCTTTCAGAAACATGTAATACTTACTCGACTTGGTTTGTGCTTTCAGGGTACAGCGTATGGCTAAGGGTGCAGGTCTTTCCAAGAGGTATGAATCCTATAGGAATCTTACTGAAGGCAGCCTGGGCACATGAGGAGAGTAAATTAACATTTGCATCAGCTGAACGAAGCTTCCTGTGTGGAGATCACAGCTGTGTCTGATATCACCCCGTTGGCACTAAGCAGCCAGGCACTTCCTTAAATGAGGCAGTAATACATAATGACTCAGAACATGGCATCTGAATCTGTGAACCCACCACTGCCAACTGGGTACAAAGGAGCTCTCTGTAACCATTAAGAGCATTGTTACATGCAGGTTGGCAGCCACGTCCTAACTAATGCATGGATTCTGTCAGCAATCTGCAATCTTTCTTAATACTGACAGTGGCACCACAAGCTCTAAATCTCATTTACCACTGCAGAAATCCCCCTCTGATAGAATAACCTTGCATGGCAAAGAGATTTTTCCAGTTAAGCAAAGGAAATTAATTGATTCCTCTGGCATCCAAATCATGAAGCAGCAGAAGGTCTAATTTTTGGAAGTCACTGACCATGTTATTTTTCTGTACCGTAGTTCAGCAAAAGGGCTTGTTGAAGGACCAAGTTATTATACTATACCTCATAATAAGCTGTACCTCTTGAAGCGTGTCAGCAAATCAATGTAAACTACCATTTATCACAATGTACCATCTCCCTCCTGGTCACTGCTGCTAGCAGCACGATGATACTGCAAATCTGCACTGACTAAGTAATACCCCCTCACTTCACGCTCACCTTTGCTATCTCTGTGTCACCTGCAAGTCTTCACACACCTCAAACATCCTCTCTCTCATTTTCTTCAGAATAGTTCTACAGTGTGCAGATGATGACAGGCTGTTTGCAGCTCATGCAGTCATGCTCTGCTCCCCTGGCTGCTAGGAACAGCGTTTTTTGAATACCTTTGCACAGGCTTTTCTTATCCAGGCAACAGCAGCGTGACATACCCAAGCCAAAAGGGAAGCAGAGCCAGAGTGAGGGGGCTGAACTGCAGATCCCTACTCCTAGAACAATGTGATGTGAAGGACAAGAACTCTTCCCTGGCCAAAGTTACACAGTGGCAATACTACAATGCAGTATTCCACCCAAAATAGTGCCGGCTGCAGAATTTTCTACGCCATGGCAAATCAACCCAAGCTACATCAAGAAAAGTCAAAAAATAAATTAGAAAAATTAGCCAGTAAAGCCTCTAAAACTTTTCTTCCAGATCTTTAGATTATAGAAGTCTTAGGAGCCAACTATAATAATATTGAATTTAAAAAATTGATGTCTCAGAATTGATATAGCCAGCGCGCCTTTAAACATTCTGGCTTAGTTGCAGAGTTTTTCTTGTCACATTCAGACAAAGCAACTGCCTAAACAGATACAATTCTAGCTGCCAAGGATATCATCATAATCTTGTCTGGATCATTAATTGAGTTTTTGCCAGCTCCTGCCAAAAGGTTTTGGGAACAATGATTCCCTCCTTTCTTCAATAACACTGTCCTCCCTCTTCAAAAAGAAAAATCTCTCTCATTTCCATTCAGAGCGATCCACCTTGGGAGGTTAAAATTTGCTTTCTGCAGCCATCTGCATAGGTAGATGTTCACCCCTTGAAAAAAATAGCAAAGCAATCATAAAGCAACAGGAGCATGGTCATAACTGAATTCTGCTCCAAGCCTGTACAAGAAAAACAGGCACTTTCGCCCGATGCGTCTGCCAAGCAAAGCAGCATACACAGCTGGTCCATGGATCTTTGAAAGTTGTGCAGTTGGCTTCTCCACAGTCCCTGGTCTGATGCTGAAAACCTCCCAGAGCCATGGCTTGGGAACCATTGCACTCCCTGAGAAAGGGAATGAAGAACAATGGGCAGGATTGCAGGACACTGACATGGCTGACTTACTACCCAGTAAGCTGGCTCCAGATAAGTAAGCAACCTATCTGTAGGACACAGCTGAGGCCCAAAGATCACAGTAGATGCACATGACACTTCCTCTAAGAAATAAACAACGTTTTTAAAATGACACTTCCTCACCTCATCTGCTCTGCGGAGAAGCCCAGTTATGACCTGAAAAACAGGGGAAATGCTCAGCTCTGAGAACTCTGTTTTTCAGTACAGCAGAAAGCTATAAAATCCATACCCATATATACTCTTTGAAAAAGATTTAAGCAGCAGCTTCTCTTATGGAAGGTACTACAATTGCTTACATGGGAAAGGAGGCACGTCCAATGTATGAACACGGCAGAAATAGCAGGGTTATGAATGCACAGGAGCATATGCTGGCACCACAACCAATGCCAGAGTAAATGTTTTAACACTGAATAATACTCTGCGTAACGAAATACTAGTACTGGTCAGTGGGCAGTTAACAACAATCAATTCTATGGCCAGGAGAAACTTGCAGATGTATTCTGACCATTTTCTCTTAAGGCTACTGCATTTCATTTAGCCATTGCCTTATGAAGCCAGTAGTTACCACCCCAGGAAATGCTTTAATAAAATACAGCCTCCATTGAAAAATGGAGTATCCCCCAGCCTTCACTGAAAAATAGAGTATCTCAGTTTGCTGCTGTCATTCATTTTTTTGACAACAGGCATTTATTAAATACGCACCATGCTTTGTTATCAATCCCTTGTAATTTTTAAATTATTTGATTCCCACTTAGCAAAACATGCATTCCTCTTGGGAAGTACAGATAGGAATGAATGTTGAAAATTAAACCACTGCAGGTACATTGAACAGAAAGTCTTACACAGAAATCACATCTCCCCAAATAATTTTCTCATTCTATAATAAAATTCTGGAAGATAGTTGTGTCACACACTCTTTTTGCCCCCACTCCCATCATCACTTTTAGACTAATAACTGGCAGAGTCTTCTTGTTCCCACAAAACTGTAGCTAACTAACTGTTGACTGAAAACACATATACTAAAATGGACAAATCTCTAGTAATACTTCTTACACTATTGCTACACTAAACAGACTCAATCTTCTCACCCTCAGCCTAGGATTCTCAACAAACCAGACAAAGCTCCTGCAGTACCTCTTGCACTGTGCCATCTCCTCCTGCAATAATGATCAGATCTGTGTTTTCCATCAATTCCAGCAGCTTTTTTGCTTGTCCCTCATAATCAGTCTGAAGAAACAGAAATTCAAACATGAGAACTCGAGTGACTGTTTCTACAATTTCTCTTTTACAGAAAAAAAATAATCATCTATCCATTTGCTTAATAGTTATTCTCATATAGGCACACAATACTGTATATTACTTACAATCACTGACATTTCTTCAACTTATAAAACAAGTCTGCTGCCCGATAGAATATGTGCAAGCAAATACACACATGTAAAGGCTAAATGAAACATAAGAGTAAATCTCATTCAACAGATCTAGAATATTGAAGCCATAATCGTATTTCCAGGTAGTTTTGCATTGCAACAAAACCAGAAGCAAACAATGCTCTAGCAGCCAAAGTGCTCAAGTGTGCCTCCTGAAACTCAGCATCAGCTACATAAAAAGCTACTTCCCAACAGCAACCTGTTGACAAGGGGGTTAGCAGTAAAGAATATACTGACTTTTGAAACCATTAAAAACATTTTCTGCAAGATCAGTGTCTTTTACAGGGACATCTCAGCCTCAGTTACCAGCCCAGCTCTGCTTTGCCAACTTGTCAGGTCTGAAGCTACAAAGCATCAGGTTTAAGTCTTGCGAAATAATTTTTTCTCTTAGGGTGGGATTATGTATTTTCAATGATCAGAGAAAAGCATTAATAAAACCAGCATTTAAACACTAAACCTTGTGAAAAAGATTCCAAGATGGAAAGATATGTATTAGAGTACTTCACTGCTAGGACACAGCGACTATTAAACAATCCACATATCACAGCCTCAAAAACCTGCAAAAACATCACTATCTTTCATGTTTACTTGTTCTTCTTTTTCCAAAGGAAACCTCCCTGCTAATTCACACCATTTAGAGCTCAGTTGTCTGCCTTCATTGTGGGAATGTTAAATTATTTCATTATATTTTCATTGTAAAAATAAAAGCTTACTTTTAATTATTCCGAACAGGTCCACACACATCAAAGTTCCTCACTTCTGAATTCTGCAAGTTCAGGCAGAACTGATGATTTCAACAGTGATGGGCACACACCACTAGCCAGCACTCAAATATTTAGAGAGTTTTCTCTCCAACATAAATTATAGAAGGGCTGCTTTAGACGGACAGATAAGCAAATGTACTGCTTTAGCTGAAAATTAAAAACTCAGTACACAGTTTGTAAATTAACTGTGAGTTAAAAAGAAAAAGATTAAGTACCAGCTTAATAACTCAATATTTATTTCTTCCCACAAGATGTCTACAGGACAACTGAGAACTTCAAATGAATCCAGAATTTAATTTCAATTCTTCAAGAGAAGAAAGCAGAGCAGACAATATTTCAATGTAAGCAGACCCTATCAGTTCTTACCTTAACTACAGTTACATCCAAGCCAGATAAGTGCAAAATTGGAGCAGCATTTGTTTCAAAAAGATTTCTGGCTTTGCTAGAAATAACAGAGTAAAAAGTATTCCATTAGTCCGGTAGCTAAAAAAATTAAAAAGGAAAGAAACAAATGAATAAGAACACAAAATCTACTTAAACCCAAGCATATAATCTACACAATCAGTCACTCAGCCTGCCAGTCAGGAAAGATGAGATTTCATTTGGTTCAAATGTATTACATTTCTAGACTCATCTCTCAGATGCCAAGTTTTTATTGCAGTTTTAATAAATGCAGAAGAGGTTATCTAGCTTTCTCCAAAAATAATATAAAAAAACCCAATAAAAGAAAACAAGATCTCCAGAAAGAAATTTATTAGAAAATTAATGCCTTTCAGAGCATCAGGCTTTAAAACCACAAAGAAAGCCCATTTTAAGTATTCAGAAACATTTTAAAAAGAATATTTACTGAATACTGTAAGTTCAGAAGCAAAATCTTATGTGACCTTCTTTTGTTAAAGGACTGATACATTTTCTGCCTGTAAATGCATAATAAACTAATTATGCCATTAACTGTAAATTGCTTACAAGCAAACATGAGTCTGGAAGTCAGAGACTTAATTTATTAACACTTTGCATTTTCCACTCATTGGTGTTTTGAACAAAAGCAGGCAAGTCCAAGCACTTCCATGTCAGATATATTATTCCTTTCATATTATTACTAACAACTCCCTGCCTCTCCCCCAAGATGCAACCGATGTGAAGTTTAGCTGACCAGCAGAAACAGGCACACAGCATATCCAAGATTACTGTTTTTCTGCTAATGAGCATGCAAAAATAGCAGCCGACCTCTTCCAGGAGTCTTGCTCTGAGCCCATATTTAGCCTCTGAGTTTGTGGACACATCCCTTTTCAAGGACAGGTTCCCAAAGAAGTAAGATCACTGCTGGCTAACTTCAAGTCTTGAAGCAATCAAGGTCATCTCTTTATTTCTATAGTTTTTGAGGGTGGAAATGCATCACATACAGAAGTTTGGAAGGAATACGAGGGAATTCCACACACAAAGGAATGATGAAGGCCGAAACACAGGATAAAAGAAAAATTAAACATATACATGGGTTTAGAAATCACTCTTTCACTTCAAGCATCTAGTTCTATTTCTCATCCCAATATTTTCAGTGAACTAAAGTTTGGCATAGTTACACAGCACCAGCTTGGCATCAGAGGGAGGTAAAAATGAGCTCAAAAATCTGGCTGGCTTTTATAGTGGATGG